TCAGACCAAGGAGGGTGTCCATGCGGCACCTGGCATGGGGCGACAATAATAGAGGCAACAAGGGCATCTGCAAGGGGGACTGCAATGCGGCAGCTCAACACGGAGTGAAGAGGGCACCCTTGTGGCCTGGCATGGGGTGTCAGGGCCCAGTGGGAATGAGGAGGGTGTCCACACAGAGGGCACAGAGCAGCTGAAGAATAATTACATACAGGGGGTCTTAATCCACTAAATAATACATGTTGAGAATAAGGTTCTCACTGTCAGTGTTACAAAAATGAAAAGAAAGAAAATCAGAATGAACCCTGTGATCCGGCCAAAAAAACGCATGGCCTAAGTCATGAGGAAACAACAGAAAAAAATCTAAACTGAGGGACATTCACCAACAGGGTGCTGGCAAATATTTAACAGCTACCTCTCCAGAAAGCGACAATCAAAAATTTTTATCCAGAGCATTTCCATGGTATAAAGAATCTCACGATGGCCATTGCAACATGACCCCAACCTGCCCGCAAAGTGCATGGAAACTGAGCAATCGTCTCTCATGATCCAGTATGAGCCAGCTCCAGCACATCACCCGATGCCGAAATATTGACAGTAGTCAGCAGTGTCGATCCAGTGTCATGAAAGTCAAGGAAATACTGGGGAATGTTCCAGCTCAGAGGAAGCTGAAGAGTGATAACAACTAAATGCAGCATGTGATCCTCAATCGGATCCTTTACCACAAAGGATATTATGAGGACAAGTGGCAAAACTTGAATGGGGTCTGTGGACTAGATGCTTCAGGGTTAATGTAGTAGGCTGGATGGTGGCCCTCAGAAAAAGGCAGGGCTACATCCTAACTTCCTGAACCTGTGTACTTGACCTTGTTGCAGAATCACCTCCCACGATTTAGGCTCATGCTCCCGTTGCACAGGCAAAGCCAAAACATTGAGACACTGGTACTTGGACATAGAGAGAAATGTTTATTTGATTTGGACAAAGCAAGCAAAGAAGAGAGCAAGATTTCTCAAATCCATCAAATTACGTCAAAAGCAAACTTAATCAGTTTTATGCAGCTAGGGAATCTGGGAGGGGTGTTTCAGGGAACCGAGAGAGAAGTCTTTGTTCTTGACTCATAGATGACGCTTTTATGTATCAGACTCCTGGGCATCAGCAGCTGCTCACAGCTAACTTAAAGACATTCTTTCCTTCCACAAAACAAACTCATAAATTCTCTTCGTGACCCTGAAGTTACCTCCTCCTGCTTGACAAACAGGCACCACATTAGCTACTTATGACTACCTTCATGAGAACAAAAGGAGGTGAGCTGAAAGAGTGGTTAACATGTGAACAAAGGCCTAATTCAAGATTAAATTATTCAATTCTCGCTGCCAAAATTAGTAGGGGCATTAAAATCACATGAGAAATGCAAATCAAAACTATGAGATACCACCTCACACCAGTCAGAATGGCTGTCATCAATAAATCAACAAACGACAAGTGCTGGCAAAGATGTGGAAAAAAGGGAAACCTCCTCGCTGTTGGCGGGGTCGCAAATTTGTTTAGCCACTACGGAAAACAGTATGGAGATTCCTCAAAAAATTAAAAATAGAGCTGTCATAGGATCCAGCAACTCCACTTCTGGATATTTATCCAAAGAAAACAAAAACATTCGAAAAGATATGTGCACCCCTATGTTCACTGCAGCATTACTAGGATATGGAAGCAGCCCAGATGTCCCTCAACAGATAAATAGGTAAAGAAGATGTGGTATATACATATATATGGAATGGAATATTATTCAGCAATAAAACAGAATAAAATCTTGCCATTTGCTGCAACATGGATCTAGAGGGTATTATGCTAAGTGAAATGAGTCAGACAGAGAAATAAATTTACCACATGATCTCACTTATAAGTGATATCTTTAAAAAAAGTAAATGAAGAAACAAATAGACCCATAGATGTAGAGAACAAACTGATGGTTGCCAGAGGGGGCGGGGGAGTGGAATAGGAAGAGTTTGCAATGGTGTGGCCTTAAAGAATGGTGACAGCCACTCCACCCTGGGAGAGGCAAGGGAGGATTTTCTCCCCACTAGAGCTTTGGAGGGAGTGCAGCCCGGCCAACACCTTGACTTCAGACTTCTGGTCCCCAGAACTGTGACAGAATAGATTTCTGTTGTCTTAAGTCACCTGGCTTGTGGCATTTACTATGGCAAGTCTAGGAAACTACTAAGGTACTCTCCTCATTTTGATAGTTATGTAGGAGAATGTCTCTATGTACAGCAAACACATGCCAACCTATTGAGAGTGATCGGGACATGCGGGCCAGCAATTCCCTCAGTGATAGCGATTACTCTCCAAGAGTTCAGGAAGGTCAGGGGGGTTCTTTATACTATTCTTGCAGTTCTTCTCTAAGTTTGAAATTACTTCAAGAGAAAAAGAAATTCCCATCCTAGATGGTCTAGTAATTTGGAGGAGGTGGGGTGGGTTTTGTGGGACTTTTTCATGGATTTCTCGGAGATCCCCTGTAGAAGACCCCTTTAGTATCAACAGTGCCTCCTCTAGCCCACTCCTTTCAGCCTCAGGGAGTCAATCAGCCCAGCCCTCTTGGCCCGGTCTGCCCACCATCCCTGGGCAGGTGACCCCAGGCCAGCCACCCTCCACAGGATCCACATTTGGTCTCTGGGAGGCCTGCCATTTGTGGACATATATGATCACACTGTCTCCCATAATTTTTCATCCAGAATTTTTAAAAATATGACATAAAACAAGGCACTAACATTTTTTCCCCAGTAGTTAACTAACTTTCCCAGCGTCTTTTTTGAACAAGCCACCCTTTCTTCATTGATTTGGCATGCAACTTCCTTATACTTAAAATTTTATAGAGGTTCCAATCCCAATAATGGCAGAGTGGTACCTAACAGACCGACCTTCCCCATATAACAAACTTTGGACAAAATGTAGAAAACAATCATTGAAAACACTGGAGAGGAAAAGCAAAAGCAGACAGAAACTGGAGAGTTGTTTACACTTGGAAGAGAAAATGACGCTAGGTGAGTTTTCCAATTTTAGAGCTCATGCCTTAACGACAGGCCCTATTCAGTGATACATCTGGGACAGACACCTGCCATCTTACTACCTTGAAGAACCAGAAGAAAGACTTGGGGTTTCTGTAGCATCCAGAAAATAAATAGGGACATCCTGCAAAGGAAAGAACCACAGTAAAAGAGCATCAAAGTCTTCATATAAATTCTTTCCCTATCTTTCTTTGTCCTCTGAACTGCTCCTGGGCAGCGCAGATACCAAAAAGTCAGTTAAAATTAAATAGTTGCACAGAGATTTTAGGTGGTACTTACTGCAGGAGACACTGGGTTTCAGCTAAGTTAACTGCCCACCTAAAAAAATAAAAAGCAATATTCTTAGGAAGAACACGCCAGAATCCTGAGACTCTACAATGTGTCGTTCACAATATCAAGAATACAACGCAAAATTACTGCACACACAAGACTAGGAAATGTGACTGATGCTCAAGAGGAAGGGCAGTCAATGGAGATCGATCATGTTTGAATCATGTTTTTGAATTAGCAGACAAGGGTTTGAGAGTAACTGTTATAACAATGCTCAGCAGAAGTTTAAGGTCTTGGGCCACTTCTACTCCCTCCCCTTGAAAAGGGTATAGAATAGGTTATCCTATTAGGCATACATGCACATGTCCTTCCAAAAACTAGAGTGAGAATTTATCAAGCTGATGAAAGTTTAAAAAAAAAAAAAAGTAGCTTTGGGAAGAAAAACAAAGACAGGAGTTTTCATTTATCTTGTGTAGAAAGTAAATCAATGATAGGTCACTGTGTTGGCAGAAAGCTCTTGACAAACCCTTGGATCCCCAGATATCTTGGGTCAGACATAAAAGAGTTAGCAGCCTTGGGATTCCGCGGCTCTTTTTTAGTCCCTCAGATTTACCATGTTTACTAAAATCTAACTAATCCCACTTCTGCAGCCCTGCTTGATTCTTTGGACCAGCCCTAGATTAGTCATTAGCCCAGCGATTTCAGGTGGTCTGGCCGGACATTCTCTGCCGCACACCCATTATAGTGAAACCCCAACCCAAAACTCATGATTCAGGATGGAGTTGGAGTGATTCCCTAAAGAGATTTGTTTGTGTTTTTTAAGAGTTCTTTATAAATTTATATGCATATATGCACAACCCAAGGACACGGACAACGATAGGGAGAGGGACTGGGG